GATAAGTTGTTACAAAGAAAAAAAAGTTGCTTTTCAGTGAAATATTTCAACTTCTGATGAAATCAAATACAATTCTGTGAATAATGTTTATTTATTAAGGCGCAAATCAACCAAAATATATTATTTCTAAAAGAAAACTAAACCAGTAGGTAAAAAAATCATGAACATTATCTTATTTATCGAGATCTATACTTATTAACAACCTTAAACCTAATCTAACAATATTAAAAATCATCACACGTCTCGTCAAAATGGCCCCGCGCACGTGGTGCACTGATGTGCCCGGCAAAACACTCTGTTGCTCACGGGTGAAACGTTACAACCAGCCCTAAATCAGCGAAACAAAAAGCCCCGATCGACGCCCGTGGCATTTTACGTGAATATTCTGCTTATGTGTTGGAATAGTCTAGTAAAAACTATTGCAACGTAATCTTAAATGTCACTTGATCCATAAGGACGGAGCAATTTCTTATTTCGACGTTAAATAATCGAAATAGACGAGAAACTAATGAACAACAAATATGTACATTTCTATACGTGACTAGGTGACTAGGAATAAAAAGAACTTTCAAACTTTAACAAATTGTCGCTCAGTAAGCATGAAAAAAGGAAATGGAAATACACTTTTATTTCCTGCATCCAGATACAAGTACATTCAGACGTATTACAAGACGTGTTGAACTGGTAGAAAAGTAACCGGTTAAAAATTCTTCAGCCTTCGAACTGAAACGAACAGTTTTACAGAGTAATACTGCCCATTCCGTTTCTGATGTTTCACGCAAGATGCTAGGGTAACAAAAGTATTGTCTTTCGGTATAATCACGGCCTGAATTAGAGCAGACACCGAGACATACAATCCGGTCGCGTTTCTTGCAGCTAAAGATCAAGGAGGAGGAAAAAAGCATCCACAGTATTGTTACTCCGTAGGGTCGATGGAACTGCTAGGTGGCATCTAATGAGAAGGAGCGGACAATGAGCCTTTCTGACTTAAGTGCCTTGGGGTGAATACCGGAAGGGTGCTCCTACCACCCTTCTTATTTCATTCATTTATTCTCACGCTAGCTTCACGAATCAGACAAGTTATCTGAGGAGAGATCTCTGCTATGAATGGTTTCAAGGTTTTTAGAAAATTTGGAAAACAAGAATTTAACAAATCAAATAGCTCAATTTAAACCTTAAGCATTGGATAGAAGAGTCTGGTAGAATAATCTTCGTTTTTTAAGTTAACAGAAAGTCGATTCACTAGATTGTAATTAAGCAATATCGTGGAGTGCACATTAATGATACGAATGAAAGAAGTCTCCAACTTTTATATACATACATACTTCTCGACGGTAGCAGTCGCGAATAACCCAAAGCATACACTCATTTTTTTCATCTTTCATGTAATTAGTATTATGAGCAATTTATTTAGAAATAAAAATTTGGATATAATCAATCTAAGGAGTGTACTACAGATTTTCTCCAAAAGAATAGAAAGTTTGGTACATCATATAGAAATTTTAGTGATTTCATATTTTATGTAATAAATTAAAATCTTCTTTTTCCATCATTCAACATAATACTATATTAGAAAAATGTATAACACAGAACAATACGAAAATTTTTCATTAAACGAAATTTAAAAGAATGAAGATAAAAAATTAATTTTGGTACAGTCATAAACGTAGTTCGTGTACAATATAATTTTTAATTTTTGTTTAAAACTGCTTATCACTATTATAATATGATTTTTATATTGTGTTCATACTGAAGGAAAATAATAACAGCACATTTTGCTAAACTTCAAAAAGTAAAACCATGTCAAATAACTATGCAAAATAAACTGGGCTAATGTAAACATTATTTCTTTCACTTACATTGTTTTTAAATATTCAAACTAATGAAGAATGTATTTCTCAAATAACACCATATCATATTACACTGTCTGCAGCTATTTAAACAATTTCAAATGCTCGAAACTATGAATTATAATGTATTTGGGAATATGAGTTTGCGAACACATTTTCATTCATTAGTTTATCAAATTAACAGTTTCAAAGCCCATAAAACTTTTTACTTTGCATTTGTCACAAAAGCACAAAATATATAGAGTACATTTTAATCTATAAATGCTTATATTTCGTAAAATACGTTGAATTGAGAAACTCGTTTTGGAAAATTGAAAAAGATAAAAGGAGACACTAAAATGTATAGGTATAAATTCACTTGGCGGAGGTATTAAGGTCATTTGAAGGTCAGTTGGATTTTTTTGAATGGCACGTGATATACCTTATACCATAGAATGATAAAACGTAACGAGATGAGTTCAATAATCCCATATGTCGAATGATATTATTCAAAGGTGTAAAAATACAAGGAAGAAATGTGAGTGAAGTCAATAAGAACATATTGTGTAATCTTGCACTGAAGATTGTTTAATATTTCAACATTCTACTAAGCTGAATAGCGATCGTCAAATTTTAAGAGGCGTATTCAAGTATTTGCTGGGGCACTGGCTCATTACGTTTCGCCGTTGTATTTTCACATTTTTCAATAAAATCATGAAACATATGTGGTCGTTGAACCCATCTCGTTACGCTCTATACCACGTATTATTTAAAACAATCCAAATGACCTTCGAATAACCTTAATGCCTCCACCAAGTGAATTTACACGTACAGGCTGTAGTGTCCCAATTCAACGTACTTTTCGAAATATAAGCATGTATAGATTAAAATAGGTCACCCTGCATATAAGTGAAAAAAATTAATCACTTAGTCGATAATTATGACAACAGTGAAAATTAAAGTCTATCATTCTTACAGTAACCCTGGCATATCCGTATTTGAAGTTCAAATTTGAATATTTTCTTTAGAAAAATAATCTTTTTCGAATCATACAGAATACATTGTTTGAAGGAAAAAATTGAACTATGTACAGATCGGCCAAGCAAAGATGAGGCCTCTGACGTCGGTGCCCTACCAAATGAGCAAAAAATAGGCGGACACGCCATCCCCACTACTCTTTGGTTCTACACTGCTGCCACTTGAGGGGAAGTTGCGGTGTAGGTAAATGGTTTACACAAATGGTTTTCAACCAGTTGTCGATAATAAAGGAACAGGAAATTTTCAAGATTGCATCGATTATTGTTTGAAAAGTGTTGCGTAGCAATTACAAAACGTAAGGGAAACGCGGCAGTTTAAAAAAATCGAGGAGTATGACCACCATCGACAAGAAAAGAGAATAAACAAAACGAGTGTAAACGAGATAAACGTAGTGCGTCAAGCAGCGGGGGTTAAAACCCGGCACTTGATGGAGGTACCATCTGCGTTGCAACGTATCATCCAATATCAAATACAATATTTCAATTTCTCTAATTTTCATCCTATTTTCATGAAAATAGTACCAATTCATTGGTAAGATTCTTTTGATGAAAATGAGTCCAAACACGACATAATCAGAATAGTTCTACCAGTCATCAATTTAAATATCCTAGATTTTTAAGAATGCTTTTAAAAATGATTACTCTTAAGGCTAGTCCGATTTATGTCGTGTTTGAACTCATTTTCATCGGAAGACCTTCACCAATCTACTAGTACTATTTTCATAAAGATATAATGAAAATTATAAAAATGATTACTGGTGGATTACTCATCAAACACCCGAAATTATCTCTTTGATTTATTATCGACTGTTCATCCATTACCGACTGCTTCCGCGAGGCTTGATCGTCACCTATCATTGTTCATGGAAGAGTAAGTGCGGTAGCCTTACTCTATCGCTAATGGCTGATTAACGGCTACGGCATCACAATTTTTCCTACAACTCTCACTTCAAGACTCTAAGGCCCGCCTGAACTTTGCCGAACTGTACATACTATAACTACTTTATCATGAAAGAAAAATACATTATATTTAACAAATTCAACATGTTACATTTAAAAAATTCTTGCTTTAGAAATTTTTTAATTTGAACTTATATATTTCATAAATTAATCTTATTTATTATAGTGAAATATTTCTCCAAGGATCTCACAAATTTTATATATACTTCATAAAATATAGGTTTCTTGAATAATTGAGTTATAGAAACAGTATAAACCTGTACAATGTAAATAAGAACCATACAAAAATTGTTAAATTACAACATTTAATAAAAATATTTAAAAATCAAATATAAAATAACTATCACTTTTCCAACAATTGTGATAATATATCCACACTCAACTATACATTCACACCTCAACTTGTACTTTTTTCTAATTTTTACATAATAGTTACTCTGAATTAATCTTGTACAAAATTATCTATTTTTGTTACACCTATATAAATTTCTATATTTAAATGTTTGGAATTGTTATATATTAATGAAACAATAAAAATTTTCAAAATATTGTCGTTTTTATACACATTTCATTAAAATCGTATTACAATCATTGACATAATCATAATATATTAACATATAACAAAATTTAATTTTTATATGTTTGGTAAGTATCAAACAAGTAACTTGCATCTTTTTTGTTCAATTGTACAACACTGTACAAGTATAGTATAAATGGTAATGTAATAAGTTATATTTTTATTAAACTCTATTTTAGTACCTGCTTATACAATGAATAACTAAATTAAAAAAAATGATAACTCAAATTCAAATTAATTATTAATATAAGAACAGTTTGATTCTATATAATGAGTATTTTAAATTATATATAAGATAAATATGGTAGCTACTATTGTTACAAAAACACACTTTATTTATTGGAATAAATTTACCAATTAGGAAAATCTTATACTTAAATGTACAGTATTTTATTTCTAAAATACTTAGCACTGCAAGGAATGCTTATTTTAATAGTAAAAATATCAAATGTTCATTATTTTGTAATTGTATTAGAACTTTAACATATTAAATTTAAGGAAAGAAATCACTTCAAAATGTTGAAAGTTTTTAATTCTATTATAACTTAATGACATAAAAAAATGTACAATGAATGTATTACTTTATTGTATGCCTTATATTAAACAACTCTCCTGACTTCAAAGAACCGTATGAGGTAAAAAATTTGTCCTACTGTCATACAAACCAAAACTGTAGCTTCAAAGAATGCCCACACAACTACACGAGAGTTTGTGCTTTCACTGATAGCTCTATGATTTCGATCCCGAACCTAAAAACAAGAAATCAATTTTACTAAAAACATAAATTCAATGTATTTTCATCCACTAATTATAAAAAGAAAACAAATAAATTACCTGCATATATTCTTGTTCATTCTTCACACCCCATAAACTTGTACTTAATTCTTTAATCATGTCATCTATTTTACTATGATTTGAATTATCAGCATTTTTTCCATCAGAAGTTTGTTCGAGAGGCTTTGGATTTTCACCAATGTCCATATTAAACATTACAACTTTGGGTGTCATACTACTTTTTTGGTTACCAAAACAATAGGTATAAATACCCGGAAGATGTGCAGCAAATGTATATTTACCACTGCTCTCTTGAATACCATGATAGATTATTGTTTCATCAGGACCAATTATTTTCACATCTATATCTAAAAATCCACCTTCTGCTATTTCAAATGTTAGACCTGTAAAAAATATAATAAAACAAATTATTTCATTGTATTTGAATGGACTGATCTATTTATTCTTACAGCAACAAAACACTCATCTACATATTTCAATCTTGATTTTATTAAAATATTATTAATAATTTGTAAATATTTGTACATA